ACAGCAATTTTTCTTTTTCATTTGATATATGTTGTCAGAATGGATTAATGTTTCCTGTAGCAGGCTTAAAATGAAAACTTTGGGAACCTTTAATAAAAAGGAAGCACTTTCAGAATGATTCAAAAGTCAAATTTATCTGTTAGCAATTCACTTTATGAGAAATGGAGAGTTGAAGATTGTAAATAGATTGTTTTGAAATGAATCATAATGACTACCATGTGCAAACATATCAACCAGCTCATGGTGTGCCATTAAGTATCTAATTATATGGACTTTGTCACTGAGCAAGGATGGTGTTTCTGGGCTGGTGGAATGAACCAGAATGTTCTGAAAATCCTTGATGAAATACTAGCTATACCCTCAAGCTTCTGCAGGGGGATCTGACTTCATAAAGTAACAGTGATGGGCAGCAGAGATGTGGAGGAAAAGCATATTAATTGGCCCTCTAAATCAGAATAATGACCCATTCAACCTTAGAGTTTTTTTTTGTCACAGACAAGGTCACCGCAAGATGTTTTGCACACAATACTTTTGTGCAAATACATCTAAATTTCAGACAAGGATGGGATAATATTTTTGGTTTCCATTTCAGGCTGTAGGGAATTAGGGAATTATATAGGGAATATATATTCTCAGTTTATATATATATATATATATATATATATATATATATAATATATATATATGTATGTATGTATGTATGTATAGGGAATATATAGGGAATGATAGTGATGATGATGATGATGATGATGACACTTAAAATTAAGGAACAGTCTACAAGGATGTCTAGAGTCCTTCAACAAAGAGATTGAACTTTACAGGCATGAAAAGAGTTTAGCTAAGAGGAAATTAAGTAAAATAGTGGTGCTGGAAGATTTGACAATTCATTTATTATACATACAATCTTGATTTTCAGCTTGGGCCAAGCTGGATTTTCATCAGTTTGCTGGATGACCAGGAATTGCCACTTGGTGATTGTTGCTGTTTATAGGATTATAGATTTAGAGATGGAAGGCAACTCAGAAGACATCTAGTCCAAACCTCTAATTTCCTAGATGAGGAAACCACTCCCAAAGACATAACATGGCTTATTCAACATGGTAGAAACAGGTTTTGAACCCAGTGTGTATGACTCGAAATCCAGCACTCTTTCACATGCTCTATGTGAACTTTAAAAAAGTCACTTAACCTTCCTGTTCCTAGGAGGTTGGACTGGATGGTCTCTGAATTTTCCTTCTATCTCTAGGTCTATGATTCTGTTAGCTTATAAATAATTTCTTCTTGTTGTTCAGTCATTTTCAATTGTATCTGATTCTTCTTGACCCCATTTGAGGTTTTCTTGGTGGAGATACTGGAGTGGCTTGCCATTTCCTTCTCCAGCTCATTTTACAGATGAGGAAACTGAGGTATGCAGTGTTAAGTGGCTTGCCCAGGGTCACACAGTTAGTAAGTGTCTGAGGCCAGATTTGAACTCAGGAAGACTTATCTTCCTGATTCCAGGCTCAGCACTCTATTGTACTGCCTAGCTGCCATAAATAACTTTAGGAACGGTGATAACTCCTCTGGGGGAATTATAGAAGTCTCAAGGGCAGTTGCTGAGGATGCCCTTTAAGTGCAGCTTTTGGCTGAATCAGGCCATACTTAAGGATCTAGAAGGCCACATGTGGCCTCAAGGCTGCAGGTTTCCCACCCCTGTCTAGCAGTTTAAAATGCTTGAATGGGCAGCTGTGGTCAAGGGAACCTTACTATGGCCAGGTGGGGCAGCCAAATACCTTAAGCAATTGTCAGAATGAAGCACATTTCTCACAAATCTTGCAAATTAATGCCCCCCCCAGTATAGGTCTGATCTCCCCAACGGCACCGGTTTCCTAGTGCCCCTCAGATGAATCACAAACTCTTCTGTTTGGCATTTAAATCCATTTGCAATCTGATTCCAGTCAATCCTTCTATACCTATGCTGATTTTACATAGTTCTGCAACACTCATTCTACATTCTAGCTAAAATGGCTTATTTGCTCTTTCTTGTACACATTACCTCTTATTTCTGTTCCTGTGTACAAGATAACCCCCTTTACCTGGAATGCTCTCCTTCCTCACATCTGCATCTTGGAATCCTTGCTTCACTCAAGGCTTGGCTCATGTCACCTCCTAAACAAGGTCTTTCTTGATCCCCTCTTTCACTCCCACCCAGTTGTCTTACCCCTGCCTCACCTCCTCTCCAAATCACTTTGCAATTTGTATTGCATCGATTTTGCATCGACCTTCCTTAGTACATGTTTCTCCCCAGTGGGGTCTATGTTCATTTCTGTTTTTGTATTCCCAGAGCTGAGCACAGTGCCTGGCATATAATAAATGCTTGTTGAATTAAATTAGATTGAGCAGTCTTAGTCTAGTCACTATTAATACCTTTAAAGCACTTTGGGAATGCTTACTTAACCAGTCTAAGACATGACATTTTGGGCCACATAAAAGCTTCAGAAAAATCAAATCTCCTTCATATGATACAAAGAAGAGGCTTTTCACTTTGAGAAAGAATTCCATTTTTTCTCCCCTCGCCCTCTTCTCACCACTCGTTTGGCATGTACTCATCTGCAGGAGGTATTTGGGAAGTCATTTCTAGCAGCTTCAGGATGATTATTTGACCCATGGTATGACTGCTTATCATCCTCCTTAGGTCTCCAGTGTCCTTAGACATCATATTGTTTTTATTTCTCAGAGGCTTCTTTAATGGGGTTTATTCCTTCCTCCTTTGAGAATGTCATTCCACTATTAAATAGCCCCCAGAATCTTCTCATGCCAAGGTAGGTGAGGAGCCTCCTCTCCTATGGGGGCTGAATTAAATCTGTACTGACTCCTGGCCTGAGTCCTCTTGGAGAGTAACTCTTTCTTCCCCATGAGGTCATTCAACAGCACAAATACTAGTAGTGAGAAGAGAACGTGTTTTCTTTCTTTCTATAATAGAATCAAATATTGGACCCAGAGTCAAGCAAACCTGAGCTCTAATCTGGCCTCAGACACTTACTAGCTATGTGACCCTGGGCAAGTCACTTAACCTCTGCCTACCTCAGTTTCCTCAACTATAAAATGGGGATAATAATAGCACCTACTTTGCAGAGCTGTTGTGAGATAATATTAGCTTAACATGGGGTCTGGCACATAGTAGACATTTAATAGATGTTTCTTTTCTCCCCCCCCCTTCCTTTTTCTGCCTCATTTTCTTCATCTGTAAAGTGAGGATAATAGCCCTGACTTCCCAGAGTTATTGTGAAGATAAAATGAGATACTTGTAAGCGCTTTGTAAAACTGAAAGCACTATAGAAGTATTATTATCATTCTCACCACCATTACTATTATTCAGGGCTCACTCCTCATTTACAAATGAGGCTTTCAAGCTGGTGTCAATTAACGTGCTGCCCTCACATGGTAGAAATGAGTTATGTAACCACAGTTCAAATTCCTGTGTAATCCTGCTAAACCAATTCCAATGAAGACTATTTTTAGCCATTGGCAAAATTCTCTTTTTCCTCCTTTTCTGGATCTTCTTAAAAGCATAGGTCAAATCATGTCACGTGGAAGTCTGTGGTGAGATGATTTAGTTTTTAGATACACAATCTCTGGGAGCAGCCCTCTATACACATAGCAAGGGAGGGACAAAACATGGTTGGTTAGAAGATGCCTACATTCTTTGCTCCTTTACATGTTTGTAAATCGAAAGGCATTTCCTTGATGCCCTTAGCTGAAGCAAGGCAGATTCCTTGGGGAAGGTGTGGGGTGGATGTCTCTGGGACAAAGGGAGCTGTAGATTCAAATGACATAGCTGGAAGGACTTTCTGTTTAGGGAAGGCAGACTAAGGACCAAGTATTTTATATGTTAGCTGTCAAGTTATAAGTCAAGTTGAATTTATCCAGGTACTTAAAACCATGCCACACACTAGCTCCAGTTGCCCTCAAAGTGTACTAAAAGTAAATGAATGACGATTATCATCACTTTGGAATATGAATATAGAATCACCTCTTTTTTTTTTTTTACAAAAGTTTATTGCTAAGAACTGTAGCAGAGAGAGTGTGACTGGAATCTCAGAGAGCTGAAGAGATCTAAGGGATCTAAGAATTTATCTAGTTCAATTCTTCATTTACATGTGAGGAACCTGAGGCCCAGAGAGATTAAATGACTTGCTCAAGTCATGTGGGAGATAGCATCAGGGAGAAATGCCATTTCAGTATTTGTTGGGATGCCAAGATTCCCTGCAATATGCTGGAAAAGGCCAAATGGCTCCCCCTCATTCCCCTTTCCCTTTCCCTTGCTCAAACATTACTCCCTTCTTACCTTTATTCAGGAATTACTTTGGGGTGTGGGGAGAAAATGTGGCTCTATCCATGAAGTTCATAGTTGAGGAACTTAGAGTGGTAGTTATGGTGAAAGGGTCCCTACTGTGTTAGATTCTGGGGCAAATTGTCCTAAACAACTCTCCAAATACACACTGGTCCTTGATAGCTGGGTCTTTGCTAAGAGTTGATTGTGAGCTGGAAGATGGATTTCAGGTAAGAGCAAATCATCTGCTAGATAGAACTGATCATATACAAGAGCTCGTGAACCCTGTTCACAAGCAGAAATTTATCAGGCCTATTAGCTGAACTCACACCTAACTAGCAAGCTGCTCCAGGTTAGGCATGTCACTTAGCCGATCTCTTCAGCTCCCCGTGTTTGCAAAGCTTTTTTTTTTTAAAAGAGCATTTTGCTTCCTCTACCTTCAGTGTGAACAACGCACCTGTTCAGCTCGTTACTTTCTCACCAAACACCTTTGGTCGTTCCCTCTTCCCCCCACTCCCCCCAAAATCTTCTATGTTTCCAGTTAATATGCTATCAGATTGGTCTTCCCCCTCCCCCCCTTCAATATTCCCACCCTCTGGAAACTGTAACAAGGGGTTTAAATTGGCTCCAGCAAAGCAGCAGCCATTTGAAAGAGCTTAAATAGGAGAGCAAGATGTTAACTCTTTACCATCTCGAGACATTCCTAGGGCAAGACACTTCTGTAGCCGGCAATGTTGGCACCGGTTTCTGTTCGTTCTGTCAATTAAACAGTTTCTCTGCCTTGGGCAGGAGTAAGAAGCATTGTTCTGCTGGCTCCTTCGAAAGAATCCCTGGAGGGAGGGAAGGAGGGAAAGGAGAAGAGAGAGAGAGAGAGAGAGAGAGAGAGAGAGAGAGAGAGAGAGAGAGAGAGAGAGAGAGAGAGAGAGAGAGAGAGAGAGAAATATATATATTTATAGGAAACAAAACCCAAAAACCATCATCATGCATGGATGGGGATGTTCTCTATGGTAAGGTTTCTTTGGAGGGGATTCACTGTCAACACAAATTTGTTTATGTGTAAAAACTCTTTGGATACCTCCTTTTGGATCCTGCTCAGGTTCTCCCATTAAAGACAATGCAGACTTTCTCCAGGAAGAATAAAGCAGCATTTCATGGACATGACAGTCACAGGAAGGTAGAGTGTCCCCAGAATGTGCTATGTAAACTGATAAAGTAGGAATAAGCACAGAACCTAGGGCTTCTGTTTGTCCTTCAGTCCTATGTGAGAACTGGGAACAAGCTTATGTCCAAGCATAGGATTATAGATCTGAACTGGAAGAGACTTCCACTCTACCTTTTCCCCTTTTACAGATGGGAAAACTGGAGCCCATGGAGGCAAAATGACTTGCCTAAGGTCATAGAGAGAATGTGTCCTCTGTCTGACACTTATTGGATTGGAACCTGGGTCCACAGACAGAGCCATTATTCTTCTCACAGTACCATGCTGCTCTAGGAAAGCTGAATGAAATGGATTTTGCAGCTGCCAATACATATGCACACACACAGAGAAACAGAAACAGATACACGTACACATACAGCATGTACATATACATGCAGTTTATGAAGGGAAAAAGCATGGGGTTATAGCTTGGAAAGAACTCAGTGATGGTGTGTATCATCTTCTCCATTAAAATGGAAGCTGCTTAAGGGCAGGGACCGTTTTTGATTTTTCTTTGTATCTTTGGCATTTAGTTCAGTGATTGGCACATTGTAAGTACTTAATAAATGTTTATTGATTTGATTTCCTAAGTGTCCTTGAGTAAAACACTTGACTAGAGTCATCAGTCCCTATGTTTTCCCAGCTAATTACTTGCTGAACCTTCGATATTAATTTAAGGACAGGCCAACCATCTCATTCCAGTACCAGAACCAGCCCTGGGTTCCATTACCCCTTCCCTCACCCTCAGCCATGCATTGAAAAGAACTAGCATCATCACAACATAGGCACGAGTATGATTTATCCAATGGAATGGGACTATGAGATTTAAAGGGTGACAACAATGGGATCCGGAGGTGTAATCATAGCAGAATGAGAGATCTGGATGGCAGCAGAGACTGGATTCACAATGAGATGGAAACTGGGCTGACACTCAAGGACGAACGATTACATTGAAGTTATTACAAGTACTAGAAAGAAGTAATATGGCTTCTCGGAATCCGTGAAAACAAGTCATACAGCATCATTTCAGCAAATATACCTTGATGAATAGTGACATGAGACTTACATTTCAATAAGCATTATGTGGCTTGTACCTTTTGGTGCTTAAGAGCTAAGAGCTGATGAAAAACTGTGGAGCACAGGCAGGTCTGATACTGACTGAGAAACATTTTCCTGAAGCTATAGCTACAGGCTTAATTTGAGGCCAATTTGACACTAATTATGAGGCATTTCTTGCTTATCTGTTGCTCATTATTGCAAATGTGCTTTTTGGCATGAAAAGTAGTTTCTGTTTCAAATTTTATTGAATGAACAGGGATTTGAATGAATGCATGAGCTGAGTCAACGTTATTTAAAAATGAGTTGTTGGTACTGACTTGAAAATAATGTCACGAAACATTTAAGGGTTGATGTAGAGTGTTGTCTTGCTATTATTAAAAAAAATTCTTTGAGGTTCTTATTAGAAAAAAATTACAGTGTGTTTTAATTTTTTTTTAATCATTAAATATATATATAGTTTTAACTTTCTGTGGTTCAGGATGTCATTTTAACTCAAAGCTTAGAGTACTCCATGGAACAATAGCTACATTCTTTGCTGAAGGTTGATTTCTATTCGAAGAGGAGAGGCAGAAGGGAGAAGACGATAGGAAGCCAGAACACTTAAATGCTATTCCCAATGTGGCTACTGACCTGTTGTTTTACATTTGGCAAGTCATTTAATCTTTTGGGATCTAAATTTACCTATGTTCTAATTAGGTTAACTATAGCATAGAGAAGAAAATGTTGGGTAAAATGTTTTGATTCTGAATGGAAAACATTTCTTCAGACTTCGAAATTCGTTTTTCTTTTCCTTTTCATCTAGGGTTTGTTTGTTTTACAATTAAACATGGACCAGTTTCACCTGATGTTGAACTAAGTGATGCAAACTTTCAAGAAAATATTAATGTGAAAAGGAATGGATTATTTAAAAACCAATAGAGGTGAAGTGTCTTTCTCTGTAAGAGAAACATCAGAACTCCAGTATTTCAGGAAGTTAGGAAAAAATTATGTCTACTTGCCCATGAGAAGTAACAATTGATGCCAGGAGAGGGAAGAGAGATAACGTCATTTTACCTTTACTGTAGGAAATGGTGGCCAGGGAAGGAACAAATGCGTGCAGCTGATACATTTCCAACCTTTAATTATAAGGCTGCGGTGCAGGAGAATATTAAGGGACATCTCTGGAGGTTCACAAAAGGATTAACAGTAATCATATCCAAGAGAGCTCAGGATGTTGACTGGTTACTGAGATAAAGCTTTTCTCTTTCTTTTTTCTTTTATCATTTATTTCCTTTTCCCCTCTTTTTTGGTGCCAATTTCAATTACGGGGATCACACTTTGTGTGAGCATTATAAAAAGACTTGTCAATTTCTCACCCAGCATCACTATTCAGTGGTGTTACAATGGGCTTTGTTTCATTTATATTTGAAAGTCTCTTCAAATGAAGACCGGATCTCAGAATCTATGACTCTGCTGTTTCTCGCCTCAGTTTACTGACATTAAATAATGATTCACTTTGCTTGCATCTTCAATCAGGGCCGTAATTGCTCTTTCCAATAACTACACCTATAATGTCACCTTTCCCTACACATGCTGTGCTGCATTTTACATGTTCTATTTGCAGTCCTAACCAGTATGACTTTGAAACAGTTGTGTAACAGTTCTCATTTCCCTCTCCATATTTGATCTATAGTTCCTTTTTTACTTCGCATCATTCATTTTGGAACCATGTTGTTATGTATCTGATTTTGTTAGCTTTAAGATTGGATACATGTTAACTGTTTCACTTCCCTCAAGGATTTCTTGCTCATTTAAATTCTTTTGATTTTTGGAAGACAGGAAGACAAGGCAGAGGAAATAGTAATGGACTTGGAATCAGGAAGACGATTTTTAATTCCCAGTTCTGTGACTAAGTACAATCATAAATTAGAGATGGGAAGAATCTTAGAGGTCATTTGATGCATCTTAATAGATGAGAAAACAGATATTCAGAGGTACAGTGATTTAGGATCACAGGTCTAGAGCTGGGAAGGATCTCAGAGGGTATCTACTCTAACTTTCTCATTTTACCCAGGAGGAATCTGAGGCCTGTAGATGAGGAATGACTTTCCCAAGGTCAAACAGGTAGCAAGCATCAGCAGTAAGAATTGAATCCAGGTCCTGACTCCAGAACCAGTGTTTCCCCTCTGCCACACTAAATATGTAGCATGCGATAAAGCCAAGAATTAAACTTACCTGATGCTGAAAGCAGCACAGTTTCTACTTTACCATGCTGACTTTGGGCAATAAATTCTCCTACCTGAGCCTCAGTTTCCTTATCTGTAAAATGAGGAGTTTGACCTAGTTGACCTCTAAGATTTTTTTCGCAGCAATAAAATTCTTTTGGCTTTTCTCCTTCACCATGAAAGTAAATTCCTTTTGCAATAGTTAGATTGGCTTCCCCTTTCTCAAGAGGTTCAGGGAAATGTTTATAGCTATCACCTTACAATATTTATTTTTAACCTTTAATTTGCCCTTACAGGTAGCAAGTGCCTTCAAGTTTAATGGGGACAATACTGCTAACACAGCAAGCTGCTGTATTTATGTGGCTGCTGTGCATGTGAATAATTCAGGACCTTAAACAAAAAGCAGTTTTTAAGGCACTGTTGGCTGGTCAGTCAATTATACACACATACACACACACACACACACACACACACACACACTTTACATATATACACATACATAAATATATATACATACACATGTACGTATATAATGAATTAAAAGGAAGCCAGCCCACCATGAGTATCATCATTAAGTGCCCTGATGCTTTTGACCAGGTTCTATTAAAGTCTCATACCTTGCAGCCTTCACATGTGATGACTCCGTAGTGGATTCCAGAGGACTTATCGCCACAAATTTTGCATGGTATCACTTCAATTTGTGCTGAAATGGGAAAACAGACATTTTGAGCTCATGAGTCTCTTTTCTTCTTCCCTTCCTTTCTCTCCCACCCTCTGTTCTTTTCTTCCTTCCCTAACCACAAAAAGAATTTGAAAAGACTAGTTTGGCCATGTGTGTCTTGCCTTCTTATTGTTGTACTGTTCCAAAGCTCTCTTTAATCCCATTCTGACTGATGGGTTCTCTCCCAGAATTCCTTAGTCATTCTCAGGCTGAGAAGCATAACCAAGAACTAGATTTTTTCCCCCTAAATTGATCCTCCCCAGAAGTATATTCATAAGCTGTGGGTTTCTTCCGTCTTTCTACTTTGAACTCTAATCTCTAATCAATCAATCAATCAATAATCTTTTATTAAGTACCAAATACATACTAGGTAATATATTAGGTGCTGGAGTCAAGGAAAAAAAGTGAAATAGTCTCTGTTCTCAAGGAGCTAATGTTGGAGGGAATACAGGTAGATAGATAAGTAAATAGCGGATATATAAAAAATAAATATAAAATGATTTGGTCAGGGCTATGGTGTGGTATGGATTATTCCTGTTCTTAAGAAGTTTATAATCTAGGGGCAGCTAGATGGCACAGTGGATAGAGCACTGGCCCTGGATTCAGGAGGACTTGAGTTCAAATCTGGCCTCAGACACATAACACTTACTAGCTGTGTGACCCTGGGCAAGTCGCTTAAACCCACTGCCTAGCCACAAAAACAAAAACAAAAAAGAAGTTTATAATCTGATGGGATAATGCAAAACATAACTGGAAGGTGATCAGGAAATAATATGGAGACCTGATTCCAGGAAAGGTAAAGTGAAATCTCACTAATCAGAGTTCAGGAATCTGGAGACAGAATCCAGTTGGTTCTGATATAGCACTTAACTGACTGACCCTTAATGGATACTGAGAAGTGGAAGTGAGGAAGGAAGGCATCCTAGGCATGCGATGTACAATCTTTTCAGCTGTCTCTCTCTGTTTATGACCCCATCTGGGAATTTCTCTGCAAGGATATTGGACTGGTTTGCCACTTCCTTCTTCAGCTCATTTTACAGATGAGGAACTGAGGCAAAGAGGCTTAAGTGACTTGCCTGGGGTCACACAGCTAGTAAGTGTCTGAGATCAGATTTGAACTCAGGAAGATGAGTCTTCCTGGTTTCAAGCCCAGAGCTTTAGCCACTTCACCACCTACATGCCCAGGCACGGGATAAACGCTTCCTAAATACTTCAGCCTAAGCAAAAGCAGGGAGGTAGGAGATGGGATGTAGTATATGTGGAACTGCAAATTAGCTAGTGAGTGATGGAAAATGTGACTGAGAAGATAGGCTACAGACAGACTGGAAAAAAAAAACCTTAAATGCCAAACAAATTACTTTGCATTTTGTAATACAGGCAGTGGGGAATCAGTAACACTTCTTGAGAGTTACTGAATTACTATATGATCTGAACTGTGCATTAAGAGTATCAGTTTGGGGGCAGCTAGGTGGTGCAGTGGATAGAGCACCGGCCCTGAAGTCAGGAGAACCTGAGTTCAAATCTGATCTCAGATCAGATACTTGCCACGTAATAGCTATGTGACCTTGGGCAAGTCACTTAACCCCAATTGCCTTGCTGCCTTGCCAAAACAAAAACAAAACAAACAAACAAATGAAAGAGAATGCCTCATTTCATCCAGCATAGAATCTGAACTAAGAAGGTTCTGGTGCTAGAGGGGTGGGGAACCACCCCTTGAGGCCACAAGGGGCCCTCTAGGTTCTCAAGTGCAGTCCTTTGACTGATCCAAACTTCACAGAACAGTTTTTGTTCTATAAAATTTGGACTCAGTCAAAAGGCCACGCCCAGAACCTAGAAGGCCACATGTGGCCTTGAGGTCATAGGTTCCCCCCCAGTCAGCTAGATCCATGCCCCTGACAAGCCTGAATGAAGGTGGTGACTGTGGAGTGGGTGAGTGCAGAGAACGGTACAGATGAGAGAATTGGCAGAATCAAAGAGTTCTAGAACTCGAAAGACCTGGCAACTGAAGAGAATTGAGGGGTGAGTGAGAGTGAAGAGTCAACTATGATTCACACTCAATGTGTCCAAAATTGAGTTCCCTCCTAACTTTTCCTCCTTTGGAACTTCCTGATTACTATCGAAGGCACCATGCATCCTCCCCATCACCCAGGCTTGCAACCTGGGTGTCATCATCAACTCCTCATTCTCTCTCAACCTCTGTATCTAATCTGTTGCCTATTCACTTTACCTTCATAGCACCTCTTGTATAGCCCCCTTCTCTCCTCTGAAACTGCCATCACCCTGGTGTGGGTCCTTATCACCTCACACTTGGATTACTGCTAAAGACTGCTGGTGGGCCTCCCTTCCCCACGTCTCTCCTCACTTTGGTTCATCTTCCAGTCAGCTGTCAAATTAATTTTCCAAAAGCACAGATCCGACCACATCACTTTCCTCTTTAATAGCTCTCCAGTGTTCTCTCTATTATCTTCAGGATTGAAGATAAAATCTACTGTTTGGCATTCACAGCCCTTCATAACCTGGCTCTCTTTTACCTTTCCAGTCTTCTTGTACCTTATTCCCTGCCATGTACTCTTTAATCCAGTGACACTGGCCTCCTTCCTGTTCTTTGCACAAGACACTCCATCTCTAGACTCTGAGTATTTTCACAGGCTGTCCCCATGCCTGGAATACTCTCCATCCTCTACTATGCCTCCTGGCTTCCCTGGCATCCTTTAAGTTCTAGTTAAAATCCCACCTTCTACAAGAAGGCTTCCTAATCTCCCTAAATTTCAGTACCTTCTTTCTGTTGTTTATCTCCAGTTTATCCTGTATTTTGATGGTACACAGTTGTTTTCACGTCTTTCCCATTAGAACTGCTTGAGGTCAGGAACTGTCTTTCACCTTTCTTTGTATTCCCAGGAGTTAGCACTGTGCTTGGCACATAACAGACACTTAATAAATGTTTACTGACTGACTCCTAGGTTGTGAACAACCTAGGGTGGCTGGAAGAATTGTAGTACCCTCAATAGAAATAAGACAGAAAGGAAAGGGTGAAACTAGGAAGTATCACCTTTTTTATGCTTTAATGACATTTTATGCAAGATCAGTGGACCATAAATGACTCTTGCCCAGAGATCCAATTCATATGCTAAGGTAATTATAATCACCTTAATGTCCACTATTTTTTGAGTGCCTACCAGTTCTCAGGTTGTGAAAGATTCAATGAAACATATGACATACTTTTTTTGTTCTTAAAGTAATTTAGGCAAGTAAAACTAACGTATGTGAAATCAACGTGAGACAAATACAATGCCAAGCTATATGAATGTGTGGCACCAGTTCTGTGCTCAGTAAGAGTCGAGCGAAGGCACAGAACAATGTGGGTTAGCTCAGACAACTTCATGAAGGAGGGAAACGTTGATCTGGGCCTGGATGAGCATGGTGCCGGATGAGCATGGTGTCATAGGCGAGAGAGAGGAGAACTACTTTCTTGTAGGGTTTAGAGGGCAATAGCTAGAGAAACATGAGAAACAGCATTGAATGAATAGAATGGGGTTAGAAAATGGAGTGCTTTCCAAACCAGGTGAAAGACTTTAGACTTGATGGGGCAAGGTGAGGAGAAGTAGGCAATAGGGAGCTAGGAGGATGAAACAATGGAATGATATGATAATAGTGATGTTTTAGAAAAATTGGTCTGGGGATGGTATGCAGGATGAACCGGCTAAGGGGAATAATCAGAAACAAAGAGATCACTTTAGAGATTAGCACAATAATTTAGGTATGCTATGATGAGGGCCTGAACTAGGATGGGTGGCAGTGAGCATAGCAGGGAAGGGACATACTTGTGAAACATTTTGAAGAAGATATGGAAAAATTTATTGAAATTACACATAGGAGATAGAAGAGTTAAAAAAAAGGACCATTTCTAGCTTGACTATAGGAAGAGTAGTGGTTACACTGATGGGAATGGAGAATATTGTTACGGAAAGGTGGTTTTTCTTTGGCGATTATGCAGGAGAAATAATGAGTGGAAGATTGATCTATTGAGTGCCTTGGTATCTCTTGCTAACTACAAATACAATTCATTTACAACAGTCCTGTTCCTGAAAGAAAAAGTCATAAAAGCTGATGTTTATATGATGTTATCAACCCCTCTCCCCATTTTATAGATAAAGAAACAGGATGGTTGATTTTTTTCCTGGGTATATAGGAAATTAGTGGCAGAACTGGAATTGGAACCCACTTTCTTTGACTCTAGCGTTTTGATTGTTAAACTATGGCCCAAATTGGATTTTTTTGGGGGGTTGACCCAATTTTTCTTTTGTCCAAACAGCTAAGAGTATGCCAGGTAGATGAAGCAGAGACACTGAATTCTTTTTCTTCTGAACTAGCAATGCTTGGAAGGTGGAATAGTAGTTTGCTAAACCTTTAGGAGAGAGGGAATGCCTTTACAAATGCCAAGAATTCCAATATATCAAAGGAAGGAAACTAGTAGCTTCCCCAAAAGGATTGAGTATATGTATCTCCTATGAATATGAATAATACTATGAATAATCAGTATGTTTTGGTAAGATCATAGTGTCTCCTTCTCCCCTATCCCTCATGCACAAACTATAAATACAAGTCTTTTACTCCTTATTTGAAATAGTAATAACAATAGGTTACATTTATTCAGTCCTTCAAGGTTAACAAGATAACATAGCTTATCTCATTTGATTCTTACAGCAACTTTATAAAGTTGATATTTCAAGTATTATTATACCCACTTTAAAAATGAGGAAACTGAGCTCCAAAGTGGTGAAATGACTAACTCAAGATAACACAGCTTTTATCAGAGGTAGGTTTGGAATACAAGTCACACCTGACTCCTAGTCCAGCATTCTTTCCTACCAAAACACACTGCCTATAGGGTTTCAATTGAGTTATTTGAGAAGTTTGAGCCATCAACCAACTTTTCTCATCCAGACACCTATTTATATCAATTAGAAGTTAGAATTTAAATG